CACATGAACTAACTACAGCACCAAAGTCCTGCTTTTATATTAATGCAAGAGTAATAATAATCTAATGCTATCATATATAGTAGTATAACAGTCACAGGGGACATTTTACTGCATGTGGAACTTAAAGCAAGTTGAATTGACAATAACAAAGAACCTAAAGATAAAATGGTAGAAAACACTTAAACAAGTGCCATGGAGATGGGTGTATAAAGTAGTGATATAAAATATGATTTTAAAGATGATTGAAGAAAACTGAAGAACAGTATGATAACAATAATGTCTTTGTGTGTCAGCTGGGTGGCGTATGAAGGAGCTCAGTTCACAGGGAACTTGTATGTGTTGGAGAAGGGAGAATACCGCAACACAGAGGCCATGGGCTTCCTGTCCTCAGACTCTACCATCCGCTCCATACAGACCACTGGACATGTGAGTGTGTGTGTGTGTGTGTGTGTGTTACATTTGGGCCCTTTGTGGTGCTCTCTCTGTCTTTTTGCTGACCAATATTGAATTCCACTCTTCTTGTTCAGGAGCTTTCTCTGCCCTCCATCGTCCTGTTCAGTAAGGTGGGCTGTAGAGGTCGCAGGGTGGTGTTGACAAACGGAGCTGTGAACCTGCTGCAGGCAGGCCTGGATGCACGCATACGCTCCCTGGTGGTGGAGGGTGGAATGTAGGTTACCATTTAACTTTTTTAAATGCTATAAAAACACAGTGAAACCCTGGAATTAATCCCAACTTGACTGACAGGTCCTAAAATACACACGCTAACATAACAAAACTTAATGTTAGAATTGTTTTAAAGTTGTTTTAAAACACTTTTATTTGTATACATTTTATTTTTTGAATAATAATCAAATGACTTCAGTTGTGTGTATGAGTTTATGAATATGTTATGGATGGCAATTTACATACATATTTAAATAGGTAGGTTTTTTTATCCAAGCACCCTTTAACCAAACACCAAAGGGTTCAAAGGAAAAACATTTAAATGTTCATATTTCTGCCAAAGGTTTGACACGGACACATGAAATTCCCTTAAATGGTGTTAGCTTAGCTTCTAGACTTGTTCTCATTAAGAGCAATAAAAATGTCAAAGGTGTGAAGAAGCCACCAAGTCAGTTAAATATGTTAAAACTGTAAATCATGGAGCTCAGCTTTAACTGTAAATATAGACTGTTCATCTGTGAGTTCCTCTCCCACATTTTTATATGAATAAATCAGTGAAGCTGAGCTAACACAGTGCTGACTGTCTGCTCCCCAGGTGGGTGTTGTATGAAGGGAGTAACTACTGTGGTCGGCAGCTGCTCCTGCAGCCGAGCTCAGTGGTTGATTTGTGCGAGCTCAGTGGTTGGCAGCGAATAGGATCCCTGCGTCCATTACTTCAGGTATGGAAGGAGTTGTTGTAGGACTTATTCTCATATTTTAAGTTAGTGTCTCAGTTTGTTGTTGGTTCTCGTCTGGAAAAGAATTTTAAAAATGAGGAATATTGGATCATTAAAATACCAAATAAAGCACTGCAGTACTAATAAATACACTCAGTTCATCATTGTAAATGACTCTGACATGTACTCCTGGATCAGATCTAACCATGTGGTTTGGCATGTTTCCCTCCAACAGAAGCAGATGTACTTCCATCTCCGGAACAGGGAGACAGGATGTATGATGTCCCTGACGGGATCTTTGGATGACGTCAAGCTGATGAGGGTTCAGGCTGTGGAGGAGACAAGAGGGGTGGAGCAGGTCTGGCTCTATCGGGACGGGCAGTTTAGCTGCAAGGTACAGCCCTATACCAACACTACTACTGCTTTTTGTATCTCATACAATGCAAACACAGCCCATAAACTTCTTCAAACAGCATCTACAGCAACTTGTAGTATAGACTTAAGTTTAATATTCACCAAGATGGCGGTAGAGAAAACACATTACCCTCTGCCACTGTTGTTGTAGTTAACTGTGTACCTGAAAACAAGGGTGTGATCAAGACATTATGCAAAGCAGGAAAAAACATGTAATCCCAACAGACTTCATTCATACCACTGGTGACCCCTGCCAGAGAGGTTGTGTTTTTATTCCTGTTTGGTGTCTGTTAGCGGGATATCTCTTGTGGACAGCTTTCAGGGCAGTTTGGTAGAAAGCTAAGCATGGATTAAGTGCTTAACTTTAAACGTAACCTCAACATTTTTTAAAGGATTTCTTTTTGACAGTTTTGCTACTGCACTTACTTGAAATAAAAAATGCCTCAACACTATCTGCCTATCACTGTGTATTTCGATGCAGATTTCAAATATTTTCTGTTATAAAATAACACGAGACATCAGGCGTGCACCCAGTGAGAGCTTTGTAGTTCAGTTTGTCTTTTGTGCTAACAAACATGACAAAAGAACAAATGGGTTTTAGAATTTCAGAAGGTTTCTCTATAGATTAGGATGCAGTTTGCCACAATATGACTGGTTCAACTGGATTTTAAGCAGCAAAGAAAGTGAACCAATACTAATGCATCTTCCTCCTCATCCACCATGTCCTCACTGTGTCCAGCTGGTGGAGGACTGTTGCCTTGAGACCACAGGCAGCGTGGTGATGGCGGGCTGCAGGCTCTGTGTTTCCCCAGAGAGAGGCAAAGACATCCAGCTGTGGAACATCACTCCAGATGGTGTGGTGCACTGCCACCTCAAACCTGACCTGGTCCTGGAGGTCAAAGGTCAGTTAGCATTGTCTTAACTTTCAACATATGTTCCTAGAGCCTCACTGTGCAGTACAACTCACTGTGTGATTGAGATTCAGTCCCGATCCAACAGCTCCATCTCCTGGTGCCTTGAGGCGGTGCAATCAGAGTTCTGTTTTGTCTTTTGAAAAGCAGTTGCTGCTTGAACCACATTTTGAGCTGACAGTTAAATAATTGTATTCATTATTCTGATTCCTTATTGACAACTTTACCAGTCTAAATATGTTTTATAGTACGACACTGACCCGTGTTGTCTGTGCTCTCTAGGTGGCCATCAGTATGACAAGAACCAGGTGATCCTCAACACATTTGATGAGAGAAAATTAAACCAAAGGTGGACTTTGGAGATCCTGTGATCTGATGAGCCTCCACTCACCACACAGGCCCCTCCTGCAGCTCTGCCAAGGCACTCAGTTAGCCCTGTGATGCAGCTCTGCTGTGGAACCTCACAGTTGGGCCTGGTATGGGGGTTTTGCACAAACACTGCACTCCTTTGTAGTATTCTAAATTCCTGTTTACTCTTGTTGAGGAGGGTTACCATTGACTGGATCAAATGTAATGTATGTATGTAATGTAACTATCAACCAAAAACATGCACTCACAGTTTGATGAAATAGTGGTTTCTCTTTTTCAGAATATAGATTTAGCTTATTTTTAGAGATTTGATTTTGAACACTGTATACCAAAGTCTCCTCTCTGTTTTCACTGCATGTAGTGAAAACTCAGCCCTGTTTCCATGCTGCATACCTCTCTGTACTTTATGGTACTTTTCTACTGCATGTCTCCAATGTGCCTACACTCCAAAGATCTCTGTAGACTAAGATGTTTTCTTTTTGTAATGACTGTGCTCAAAAATAATCTAATGTAAAGTTTTGATATCTTTTTATCTTTATCTTTTTAACAGTTCTTTCCTGCTAAAGGTTGTACATAAGCATCATGTGTATAGATTGTCAAAACTGCAATAACAATTCTGCCCACTGTTAATTGTAAATATGTGAATGTAAAAGAGAAAACTGTTACAAATGAAAATAAGAATGTGACTTTCTTTCTTGTCTTTTTAGAGAATAAAACATTTCTTTAGATTTTATTAATGCCTTGCTGTGAGTCATTTATCTGATGTTGTAGTGGCTCATTCCATCTTCCATGAATTTGGGGTGGAACTGTTTTCACCAGAGCAAGCTACGTGTGGCAAAACCATTTGGTATGATCCACTGGTGCATACACAATAAACAAATATAGATTCAGATTTTTGGCACAAAATAACATGACTGCCCACCACACCGAAGAATGAAATAAACATAAACACCTACTACCTTAGAAATGACCCTTTTAGCAACACCTCTCAAGCAAACTTAAACCTCAAAAACTTAGATAAGGGCTTTAGCGTTGGGACCCAAACTTTTGGCAGGTGTTTGTTATTCTGTCCTGCCCCTATATATGGAAGCTTTATTTAATTCAGATAGCTGACACAAAGCTGTACAAATATTTACACTAGAGGACAAACTGGAACCAGTCAAGCTTGTTCTAAAATGCCAGCAACATGATTCAAAGCCAAAGCAGACACGGTTACTGAAGGTTATCAAGTCCATTATTTGCTGTATACAAATACACTGTATGGATTTTGTTTGTATGTACTGCATATATGGTGCTTAAATCGTTCAGTTTGTTTGCAGATATGTCCGCTAGCTACCTAATAAACTGACAGCTAAGTGTGAACGCGGAAATACTTCTGTTTTACAAAACTGCCCTTTAACTCAATTGACAGTGCTTACATAATCACTTTAATCAGCTTTTTTTTATTCAAGCCAATATAAAAATGTCAAACATTTTAAAGCACACAACAGCAGCAGTAGTGCTTACAGACACACACACACAAGAAACTAACAGTACAGCAATAACCTTGCTGTTGGACCTTGTTTGCAGTTGTGGATACAATAAGCTAAGAACTTGCATTCAGTGGCTTTCATTCAGTTTGGTTCACAATTGTGCAGGAACACGCACAGTTACCAAGAGTAATTGCTATAAGTCATCTCCCCCTTTGCTGATCTGGACCACGGTCTTTCCTCGCGCGTGACCCTTCTCCACCTTCTCGAAGGCCTGAGGAACCTGGGAAAAGCTGAAAGTCTCATCCACCACGGCCTGGATCTGATTAAGAGCAGATAGAGGAAGGTTGAACAGAGGTCATACAAGCCTTGTTTCTTAACAATTACGAATTATAATATAATTTTTTGTGTGTGGGGGGAATGTATATCTTAAGGCCTTTTCTAGCATGTATTTTAGCTTTTCATTGTGCACATTTCTTCAAAGTAAGCTAAAACCAAGAATCTGTTCTTTATTTCAAAGCATGCTTTTGCAGGAGTGTTATCTGCATAGAGGGTGAGATAAACCTCAGCTGAACTTTATATCAAAATGTAATCTTCAGTATCTCTAATGTACTGTACTTACCCATGCAACTAGTTAATTTCCCAGAGTCGTTACTGTCCAATAATCTCATGCCGTTGCCGAACTGGATATTAGGAAGACAAGCTTAGATCTGGTCTAATTTAACTCCTGATGTGCACACAATGATTATAAAATTAAAACTAAAAGGAAAAAGACCCACCCAGGGATCAATAAAGTATTTCTGAATCTGAAGTCAGTTCACTTGTTTAGTTTCATTCTATTCCTGGAGGCATTTGAGATCGTGACCATGTGATTTGATCCCAAAGATACTCAACAATTGAGCAAAGATAGATACTGCTGTTTGAAATAACTTCACACTACACCAAATACATAAAAAGGTCTGTCCAAAGGCATTTATTAGTTTCTGACTCTGGGGAAAGTAGGAAAAACAGTCATATTCCTCAAAACCTCGACCCCTTGAGAACTAATGTCATGTTTTTTCCATTCACTGAGCCTCCCCTGAAACAGTTTGGAGCCTAAGGTCTGCTTTCCACTTAGAGAATAAATCTGCTACCATACCTGCCCTGCATCCACCATCTCCCTTATTTCATCCAAAGCAGGACCACTGGGTGCAAAGAATCCCCAACGGTAGTGAACTCCTTTGACGAGGTGCTACAAGAAAACAGTGATGTCAACTTGACAGTGCAACACAGTAAGGTCATGTTGAAGTGGTCACGTTACTGCTAAGCATTCTACTTCCTAGTTCTAATGGCATTTGCAAGAATCCTGAACAAAAACAGCCAATCAGAGCCAGTAAAAAGATCGAAACACACTTTGGGTCTAAGTGGCTTGAAGATAGTTGATTGTTGATCTTTCTTGTCTCTGGTTGCCTTCATTCAGGCCCGGTGGATTCTTGCAAACACCATTAGGAGCACTAGGAGGAGCCAGAGGAATGATACTAATACTTTTTCATGCCAATAATCAGTGCTGTATATCATCTCTACACTCTAATGTGTGTCAGGCGATTAGGTGGAGATGCAGCCTATAACAGCTGGGTAGGATTCCCTGCAACTCATGACAAAAGGAGACACCTATGTATGTGTGTGTGTGTGT